GTAAGAATGTCCAATTTGTGGACTGGAACTATGAACAGTTAATTATCCTTGTTATTGCTTTTATCCTCATTAGTACTGTTGTTGTTCTTGGAGGTCCTTTGTATTGGTTGTATCACATGTGCAGTAGATTCTGCAGAGAGCTGCAGTCAGGGGGAAGGTGCGCCGCAGCCCGAGGCGCATCACACCGACACAAGTCAGAGGAGTTCAAAGTGTTTCAGATAAATGATACACCTCCAACCAACATAAACATCCACTTATTACTTCTGTTTGACGCAAGTCTGACGTTTTTACGCAGCGCAATTTAGCCTCATTCAAGATAGCCAATTAAAAAGTTCATATTATTTTTCTATACACGTTTTTGGATTTTTACATTTCATTGCACACACAAGCCTCGTTGTGCCTCTATGATCTATTGTGTTGCTCCAAATGTGTGACAACAAATATAGCCTATAGATAAATAAAGGACTTAATCTTCGTTAAAAATGACAGAAAACAGTAACCCTCTCATCAGAGCAGCATTTGTATGACTCTTTCTCTCATATTAAGCAATTTGCTGATAGTGTTAATGTTGAATGAATAATTGAGGGTGCGCTTTCCCATCATGCCACAAGGAGGAGGCGAACCTCGCGTGCTCACTCATTAATTCCCCGTAATTAATATATTTTAAGCATCAAACACATCTCAATTAATTCATTCTCATTCTGTGAAACACTGCTTTACGTTGCTTGAAAAAAAATGGACTTGCATAGTTTAATTAACCATACATTTTTAGAACTAAAAACTGAATTACAAGCTTTTTGGTTAATATACAAAAATAATGATGGTTACAATAAATTGTATTTTGATATGTATTTGTATGACGTTTTTTTTCTCTTTCTCTAATTTTCTGCAATTCTTTCGGCCCCACGTGACATCGTTAATGTATTACAATGAAACTTGATTTTATTGTTTATTTTTAATCGGTATTTAAAAGCATTTATTATAACGTTTTTTGTTATTTCGCTATAATAATTGAGGTCTTGGACCAAAAACGAAACGATATACTTTGCTTACTCACAGGAGGGCTGTTTTCTTTTTTATAAGCTTTGCTTTCTGCCCTCCCTCTCCAACTAACTTCGTTTTCTCGTTCCTTTGTTGTAGGTTATTAACATTGCATTAATTGAATTAGAAAAAGAATAATAAAAAAGCGTCCAAAAAAAAAGAATGAATGAATGAATAAAGTCCTCTCCTCTCTCGGCTGTATCAGGGTTCAGAGCTGTGTCGTCATTTAAGAACCCGTGCATTAGCGTTTCTCTGCTTTCCCCTGTTTGTCTTGGATTCCCTCCCGGGTCTCTGGCTCCCCCTGCTCTGGCTCCCCCTGCTCTGGCCTCCCTCAGGTCTGGATGTGATTCGGGGCTCCAGGTTCAGCACCGCGGACAGCGGCTCACAGAGTCCCGGAGATCTGCTCTGACCCTCAGCCTCTCTGAGCTGCAGCTGCACACACTGTCTGAACATACTGCAGCAATGGAGCTGTTCATAACGTGGATTTTTTTTAACATATATATATATATATATATAGGCTATGCCGTTAATAACTGTGCTATATACTGCTACATCTTCAGAACTGTTACAGGATGTATATTTTGTAAATTGTGTACATCCTTTTTTTTTTATCTTGCATGCTTCTTAGTTAACATTAAGTTGTCTTCTCTTCTGTAACAAATGTCAATTTCCCCTCTGGAACGAAAAAAGGTATTCTGATTCTGATAACTATAAGAGAAAATACATTTAAATCAGATGTTTAAAGTGTATAATGTAAGACACCAGAACAATGTGACCTTAAAAAGAAGAAACCAAGATATTTAGTATAAAATGTGTCCTCTGCTCAAAGATTTTATTTATAGTAAAGCTGCCTTTCATTCAGCATATTCAGGCAGCAGCCTATACACCAACACTGAAACACATGAGCACATACTACAGTTTAAAAAAGCAGAAATTAAATCTGAGCAGACAGGAAACCCTCCGTTTTAGTTTAATACAGTTAAGCTCACACACACTATGTTACGACCATATAGGTTCACCTGCTGAATTAAAAACAGAACAAAATAACCAAAGAAAGTGAAAACCATAAAGCAGATTCAGGCAGTAGAAGTATAGATTCACTCTTAAAGTGTTAGCCTACAGAACAGTACAGCTGACAGAGAAGAGACAACATCTGACCCTTTACAACAAACACTATATGCTCTTTTTAGGTTTTTAGTAACACTGTAATCCTGCTAGTGATTCCCAATGTTTTAAATAGTAACAGCAATCTGATTACATATTTTCTTCATGTAACTGCAAGGGAATACAGTTACCGTTCTGACACTATTCAAAAGGAAGTTTTAGATTATTAAAATCATAAATCAGAATGTAGATAATCGGCTCGCAGACTCACTGACCTGTGGGGGTGAACCTGAGATCTGTATTCCCATGAGGCTGGAGAACAGCTACTGAATGAACCACTGATCCCAGGATCCAGCTATTAGACCAATCCACCACCGCCCCCACCCCCCCCCCCCCCCCCCCCCCCCACGCATGTCTTTGGTCAAACATGCTGGATCTCTGCAAAACCTCTCATAATCTATGGCCTAATAAGTGGTACCTACCCTAATTGCTGAAGCTATATCTAACTGACTATTCATTCATTTGAAAATAAGAACACAATTATATTATTTCAATTTGTTTGATCTTTGTGTGTGTGTGTGTGTGTGTGTGTGTGTGTGTGTGTGTGTGTGTGTGTGTGTGTGTGTGTGTGTGTGTGTGTGTGTGTGTGTGTGTGTGTGTGTGTGTGTGTGTGTGTGTGTGTGTGTGTGTGTGTGAGTGAGGTCATTGGGTCACTCAGCTTGAACATCTCATGGTCACACAACCTTTGTTACTAAGTAAGTCTTTGGTTTAACTCAGTTTTGTTGAAGAGCACACACACTGTGCCTGAGGCGAAAACACACTCACTCGCAAGATACTGAAGGCAAAATCATTTTCATGCACTGGTATCATTTTAAAGTTTAGGATATTTTGCATGACAATATCCAAAATACACCCAAAGTTAGCATTAGTTAATGCCTAATTTACAGATGTATGATATATATCTAAGCATATTGAGAAGACTTGTGATACACATACTATTGTCATAATGTAATCTACTGGGAGAGGTTCCAGGAGATATCACTTCATAGTTGTACCCAATTTGGCTATGAATTATTGCAATATTTACATAATGTTTTTTTTCATTTTCTGGAAAGGCCGTTTTCTTAAAAATGTGTTTTTTTCACCAAATGTTCCAGTTTAATTCCTGTCCAAATGCTGAAGGTTTTAGAATTGGGTTTGTTTACATATCATTTATTGCCGGATTTATGCAATGTTTTTACTTAAAATAACACCTTATTTTCACATTTAAACCAAACATTTTTGCAAATGTGTTATACAAAACTTTTTTTTTCATAATCTATATATTTTTATTGAGTAATGTCATGGGGATAATTATTAGGTCAAAGTGCTATGCTATAAGTATTACGTCTTCAATTAAAGAGGCTCTATTATCCCTCGTGCCTTTATTGGATAGTGCTCCAACGCATTGAACGTAATAGGGTAACGGGACATTTTGGACACATCTCTAAGCGGTTGACCAATCACAACAGAGCAGGGCAGCTAATCAATCAGAGCAGACTGCGCTCTGGTTTCAGACAGAGGGTGAAAAGAGGTGCTGCAGCACAGGCAGTATGAGAAAAATAAAGAGCTTTTTGAACATTAAAGCATGGAGACATGTCACAGTAGAGGCAGAAATACAAATATTAACCTAAAAATGAGCATAATATGTCATGTTTAATTGCCGCATGAAACTTAATAATGTATACAACCTTTCTTCTTTCAGAAATCCAGAAAATACAATTATTTTAGTTTCCTGCCATTTCTTTTATTTGTTAAGACTCGCTTAAAGCCACATTTGTGTTTTGTATTGGATAAACCCCCACAGTGGCCTCTGCTTTAGGGTTAGAAGAACCCTGAAGCTCCTTATTGTTGGCAAGTTCAGTTTCAGCAGCAGCTTGAGTGACAGCTGAATTGCTCATCGCGTGTGAGTGAGCATGGAGGTCAGGGCGGAGCTCCGGAAGGTGTGTGCAGGTAACCATTGGCCAGGACAGAAAAGGCACATTTACATTGAAACAGGGCAGGAATCGGGTCTGATTCCAAGGACATTTCTCACATTCAGAGCATAGTTTCGTGCGGAGGGAAATCTGAATAAAGAAAGTTACATCATCCGCAAACAGGAAAGGAGCCATTACTTTGATTTATGTGGGTAGTAGGGTCATTCCAGAATTGGAGGACATTTCATGTCCCCCATATAAAAAATCTAATAATCCATCCCCAAAATGCTAAAACATGCACTTGTTGTGTTAAACATACTTGTATTGAGACAAAATGTATATAAAGTTGTAGAAAAAGTGGTTTCAAAATATTATTTAAATGATCAAATAGCTCTCGAACATCCCCTAACATGGCATTTTTCTCTTGTCCCCGCTTCTTGGTGACCAACTTGCATGTCAAATATAACATTTAAAATAGGGATTTTATTTACTTTTTTTGGTATTATTCTATTGATATATGTCTCTTGTAATGATAAAATCAATTTGTTAAATCATAAACATAGTTTAGATAACAGTAATTTTGACCCACTCAACCCTGTTACTGATATTATCAGAATAAAGCATATTCATTTAAAAGTTATCTTTCTTGCATTAGACATCCAAGTTTGTCCTTGCCTTGAAAGTAGCATTACATGCTACATCTAGCAATAATTCCTGAGGTTAAAGCTCAAATTAGCATTGATTTTCAACCCTGTTACTATAATTAGAGTAACAGGGGTAATTCTTCATTGGAAAATATT